CAAGATCGATACAAGATCGCTCATATATGATCATAAAAACAAGGTTACGACAGTTGCTTCGATAGCCTCACAAACCTACTCCAAGCAACTTTGCGGGGCCTTTTAAGATGGCATTAATGCCATCTTGGTAGTTAATGACAACACATTTGGGTGGAAAAGACCCCCACCGGCCAACCTCTTGGCCGATCATGCCCATCTTCGAACTCATCCTTAATTTTGACCCAAAGATCAAGTGTACAAAATTTCAAGTCGATAGAATGTGTTTAAAGAGAGTTATCGTGTGTACAGACAGACGGACGGACGGACAGACAGACATCCTGACAAATCTATAAGGCCATCTTAAAAGGCCTAAAACCTCCATTTTTGAAGTGCTAATTATTTGGGCCGTCGCTAACGGTAATTAAAGCACAAAAATTTCTAACAGAACGCCGAAATAGCCGATTTCACATTTACAACTGCACTGATTCTTGTATCGTGAAGACTGTGAAAGTGTGAAGAGACAAAGTTGCAGTTGGCATGTATATTTTTACAAAAATTATCACATAGTGGCAGTAGTGATGGGTTCCCAAACGTTTCACTCTCTGATTGACAAGAGTTACATGAATTTATGTCAACTTTTAATTTATTCATAAATTGCTACCAAACCCAGCCTTATATTTGCAGCTTTATAATTTTACGTGTTATTTTAGCATAATTAATTGGCCCTGTGTCCCTTCCCATGATGTGACAATCGAAAAACTGACCTCAGATTCGAAATCAGCGACCAAAAAACTATAAGAATCGACATTTACCCAACCTCAACAACGTTGAAATAATTAATTATTAATGATGAATTATTTGTAACAATTGTAAACACGGAACATGTGAGGCCGCTTATCTCAGGCTTATCTATTAATATACATAGGCTATTAATAGCACCCAGTTGGGTGCTATTTATAGCAGAACTTTCACCGCCCTCCAGAGGGTATAAAAGGAGCTGCACCAGAAATTTTTGTCAGTCTGCGGGAGGCGCTCGTGGGGGAGGTGTCCCTGGGTGAGCTCCCCATTGCAGCTGCGCCCTTGGACCGCCCTGCCTCTCTGGGGAGTCGGGTCCACCCGTGGTTTCGGCCACAGCCCCGACTCTCTTCCCGTCGGAGGGGTGGTCCGGGGGAGCAACGCTACAAGGGGAGAGCCTTACGGGAAGGTCCCCCCTCCAATGCTCCTCCCACCAAGCAGACTCACCGGGTAGGGAGCCGGCGGGGCTTGCCAAAAGTGCGGTGGCGCTTGGCAAGTGAGAGGGGCTCTCTACCTCCAACCCTTGGGTGACCGCGCTCTTTAGCGTGCACTCCCCTTGGGGCCGGCCGGGTTCCCGAGTTCGAAGCCTTAATGGGGGCCGATTTACGGGTGCGCTCCCACCCTTTCAGTCGAGGGTAAGACGGGCCCCCTAGGGGAACGCGGTCGCAGGGGCGGTGACGTGGGCAGGGCTTTCCCGGTCGGTGGAGGTGCGCCTTCGGGCGCGAGTGGGGGCACAATGCTTCTCATTGGTGTTGTCGACATGTCGCAAGGTCCCAACCGCCGCCACCCCCTTGTTTTCGCCAAATTTCGTCGCCATGCCATAATTTCGCCATTTCTCGGCCGATTTGCATGTAATCGAGCAAGATCATTAATTTGAGTGCAAGATTCCTGCACTCAAAGTTGGTGAGGAGAAAAGACCAAAATGTCGGCCGAGAAATGGCGAAATTATGGCATGGCGACGAAATTTGGCGAAAACAAGGGGGTGGCGGCGGGTGGGACCTTGCGACATGTCGACCACACCAATGAGAAGCATTGTGCCAAATTTCATGCAAATCGGCCGAAAAATGGCGAAATTATGGCATGGTGACGAAATTTGGCGAAAACAAGGGGGTGGCGGCGGTTGGGACCTTGCGACATGTCGACAACACCAATAAGAAGCATTGTGCTCCATTTCATGCAAATCGGCCGAGAAATGGCGAAGTTATGGCATGGCGACAAAGGTTGTCGCCATGCCCTGCATTTATAAGGGGGGAGCTGTTAGCCGCCCTTAAAAGGGCGTTTCCAGAGCACACGACGAGGACGTCGCTCCCTCGTGCTCCACGCGAGCAGGCCCCCACTCGCGCCCGAAGGCGCACCTCCACCGACCGGGAAAGCCCTGCCCACGTCACCGCCCCTGCGACCGCGTTCCCCTAGGGGGCCCGTCTTACCCTCGACTGAAAGGGTGGGAGCGCACCCGTAAATCGGCCCCCATTAAGGCTTCGAACTCGGGAACCCGGCCGGCCCCAAGGGGAGTGCACGCTAAAGAGCGCGGTCACCCAAGGGTTGGAGGTAGAGAGCCCCTCTCACTTGCCAAGCGCCACCGCACTTTTGGCAAGCCCCGCCGGCTCCCTACCCGGTGAGTCTGCTTGGTGGGAGGAGCATTGGAGGGGGGACCTTCCCGTAAGGCTCTCCCCTTGTAGCGTTGCTCCCCCGGACCACCCCTCCGACGGGAAGAGAGTCGGGGCTGTGGCCGAAACCACGGGTGGACCCGACTCCCCAGAGAGGCAGGGCGGTCCAAGGGCGCAGCTGCAATGGGGAGCTCACCCAGGGACACCTCCCCCACGAGCGCCTCCCGCAGACTGACAAAAATTTCTGGTGCAGCTCCTTTTATACCCTCTGGAGGGCGGTGAAAGTTCTGCTATAAATAGCACCCAACTGGGTGCTATTAATAGCCTATGTATATTAATAGATAAGCCTGAGATAAGCGGCCTCACATGTTCCGTGTTTACAATTGTTACAAATAATTCATCATTAATAATTAATTATTTCAACGTTGTTGAGGTTGGGTAAATGTCGATTCTTATAGTTTTTTGGTCGCTGATTTCGAATCTGAGGTCAGTTTTTCGATTGTCACATCATGGGAAGGGACACAGGGCCAATTAATTATGCTAAAATAACACGTAAAATTATAAAGCTGCAAATATAAGGCTGGGTTTGGTAGCAATTTATGAATAAATTAAAAGTTGACATAAATTCATGTAACTCTTGTCAATCAGAGAGTGAAACGTTTGGGAACCCATCACTACTGCCACTATGTGATAATTTTTGTAAAAATATACATGCCAACTGCAACTTTGTCTCTTCACACTTTCACAGTCTTCACGATACAAGAATCAGTGCAGTTGTAAATGTGAAATCGGCTATTTCGGCGTTCTGTTAGAAATTTTTGTGCTTTAATTACCGTTAGCGACGGCCCAAATAATTAGCACTTCAAAAATGGAGGTTTTTGAGGCTATCAAAGTAACTGTCGTAACCTTGTATTATGATCATATATGAGCGAACTTGTATCGATCTTGCATCGTACGGATTGCTATTCCATGTATTATGATAAATTGTCAAGTAATCTTGCAGCAAGATTGCTTGACAATTTATCATAATACATCCATGAGTAAGAAATTAATTCGAGAATCGAGAGCACGAAATGTGAGTGTTGACAATTTTTGTGCGGTTTGTTTCTGGGCGACAGTTTGTGCGACGCACACTGGTTCCAAAAGGTACCAGGGTTTTCAAAAATTGAAGTTTTTTAGGCGTCGAAGCAATTGTCGCAACCTTGTAATTATTACTAAGGTTGTCAAGCAACCTTGGTTTTGATATGCTATAGTGTCCCATGAATCAACAAGAACCCCCACGTGGTTTGATGCCATGACCACCAGGGTGCTTAAACTTTTTTGTTGTCCGTGGTTTCTCCTAAGGGGGTGGTGCAAGGATGAAAATTTTTATTCAAAAATTAAAAGTTGGGTAATTGCATGCACTATTGCCATGACAACCACCCAAATCCCTTGCAAAATTGCATACAATTCCCCAACTTTTAATTTTTGAATAAAAATTTTCATCCTGGTACCACCCCCTTAGGAGAAACCACGGACAACAAAAAAGTTTATGCACCCTGCATGACCACATTTGCGCTCGCCACATCCACTCAAAGTTGCCCAAAAAGGGAGAAAGTAGTGCTTTGACTCATTGAAATCCACGCCAAAAATCCAATTTTACTCGGATTTTGAAATTCTGAGTACCATTATACTCCCAGTATTTTCCAATACCCAGCAAGGTCAAAAATTGTTGCCTCATAACCTACTACAGGTGGGGCATCAATTTAAAGTCGGACCAGGGAAATAAGTATGCCAACATTATTCTAGATTTTTGTGACCCATACATAGGTCACCAGTAGGGTGTTGGTAGTCCTGACTCTGTGACCTTATGGGCTATAAAAATTACGTGAGCTAGTAATTCTATCAATAACAAAACTACACTACTTTGAACTTTCACTCATAAACTCATAAACCTAAAATTATTTATACTCATTTCCTTTCCAAATTGTTATCCAAATTGCACCACATTTTCCTCCACGTCAATCCCGCTACAAATCATATTATTACTCATTCCTCTCTATTTCCGGTTGAATGCAACCCCAAAATTTGTCATGTATCCACTCGGAAACAAATTCTTTGCGATTTTCATCTCTGCCATTTGAAAACGTGTCCTATGCATACTTTTTATCTCCACGATATATTTTGTGTACATAGAGAAGCAAAAAAGCGACGTGACAAAAGAGATCCTTTCCACAAAATATGCAGACTCATCAACAAATATCGTCTCTCAACCAAACCAATATATACCCAGCCTTGTTCCAGGGTGAAAGATTATGTACCCGTTTCTACTCCGGATAACTTTCTCTCCCTGGGAAGGAGAGAGACGGGCAGAATAAAATAAAACGGGTATTCCATCCCAAACTGGAGTTCAGTCTGATTCGATCCTTTTTACAGAGAGCAGGTATACAGTCGAAACGATACCCGGATCCGGGTGGGATAGAAATTCTTACCTTTTTTTCATGGGTAAAAACCGGGACAAAAAAATAGACAAAAAAATATTCAAAATTCGTTGACACAATTAAGTTTTTTAACAATTCTAATAAAATTGTGAGAGTGTAGAAATAATAATTTTAAAGAAATACTTATATGAAAATTTCTTCCTGTGAGAGTGATTTTGATTTTTTTTGTTATTCTTCTAAAAATAATTTTTACCTAAACTTCTGTTTTATGAAAAAAACTTACACGTGACATGTCATCATCATATGTGTAGCAAAAGAAAACTTGGAATTAAATGAAATCCTATTTCACCACCGCAAAACCGGCAACCGATAAAAAATCTTAAAGTAAAAGTTATCTTACTTTTTTCTTCTTGGTTCGTTGTGAAAAGTGAAAGTGACAAATAAACCGGGGCGAAATTTGTGGCAGTGAGTGAGAGAGAAAGTGACACAAATAAAAAGAAAGTAATGTACTTTTCTACTTTGTCAATCTTTACGGGATGTCTGCTTCTCGGGTTTGGATTTATACCATTTCCCAAAGGTAACAACAAAACAAAACAACTAAATCCGTTCGTTGTCTCAGATTCGCAATTCGTAGCCTTGTCCTTATTTTATTTTTTGCTGTACCAGAAGAACATGTGCGTTTTTTATGTGTGTAACTGCGGATTTTTCTTGCTGCATGTGTATCTTGTAAGTGGAAGTCTGTGTTTGATTACAGGAATATGTTTTGTGCAAATTTTTTGGCAATTTAAAGAATATATTTTTTCATTGTATAAATCTGTGATATTTTAAGCCTCTACTAATATCGTGTTGCAAACGAAAGTTGTTAGACGTCGTTTTTGTTATTTTCTACGAAAAATAAAAGACTAGTTTTATTCTATGTATATCAATCGATACGTTATTTTCTGCATTGTTTTTCGCAACACACACTTACTCCACGCATGAGTAAGATATGTGCACCGATTGATATAATTAATCTTATCTTCCTACTAATTTCACCAAACGTCCCCCAATTAAGAAAGCTTTGCCCAATTTCCCCACTTCCTCAACCATCCATCCACCTTTCGCTAAAATCCTTTCATTGCGAAACGCGCATTTCGCAATGAAACTCATTTTAATCCCGGATCTCATCCAGTCCACTTTCACCTGTCAATCTATCACTTATCTCTGCCTGCCATCGCATCTCCTCCTCCTCCCTTTCACCCCTCCGTGCCCTCCCGGTCTTTCAATTAACGTCACCCTCACTTAATTTAATTCCCTCCTCACCATTTATTTATTTATTGCTCATTTCCCCAATATTCTAATTAATCACGTCGTTATCACCTCCATAAAATGTGTAACACCTTCCATTACTCGTTACCAATTTTAAACCGATTTATTTATTACCCTCCCAAATACTTTAAATAATCCTATCTGATTCCAATTCCTGGCAATACGTTCCCTTGTGCTTTTCAGTTCTGAAATAATTGGAAAGTGGATTGCGCACAGAAACTTAGGGCAGAAGAGAATTAATAAAGCTTAAATATTTGATCCCATAAATAACTTTCTCTTTTCCCCTCGTCGGTCGGTCTCAAATAATCCAATATATTGCACCCAGAATAAATAGTGCTCAATAATCCGATATGTGTCCTTGTGTAGAGTGAAAGTAAGCAAATACAAATAAAAGGGGACCTCCAATTTTAAAAGTTGAGCGTCCAAATATAGTAATCCCACATCTAAAACCACCACCACCACCACCACTTTCACTTCCGGGTATTATACTAGTCGGCGTGTGTGTGTGTGTCTATGGGGATATTTCCTTCCGTCAAAGCGTACAGATACGGTACGTGCCATCGTTTAAGTCCAGGGGAAAGTTGGGGAAAACTATATGTACAGATAGATAGTGGAGGAAGAGCGATTAATAAAAGTCGTGCAACGGGAGAGAAAGTTTTGTGAAGAGATAACGAATGATGTATGATGTTCAAAAAGTAACTCTTGTCGGAATAATTAGTCTCCGTCCTCAAAAAAGAGAGGGTGGCGGGTAGGGAGAGAGAGAAAGTGAAAGGGAGATCGCATCTTTGTACAGGAAAAATGTGATAGGGTTTCGTAACCGTGGGTGGGGAAATGGTGCAAGTTTTGTTTTGTGATGGGAATTTTCGGGGATAGATATTTCGAAATTTTATTTCGTGGAAAGGTTGGATTTTAAAATTCAGGCTTCATTTTTTGAATGGGTTACGTGCCAATGTCGTTTTAAGTGTGTGCAAGTTTTATATAACATTTTTGGTAAAGGTTAAATTCAGTTAAGGTTAATTTTGGTTAACAATTATGACAAATTACTATTTATATTGTTTAGTTACGTTTGACAAATTACTTCTATTGGAATAATACCATAAAATATTTTTTTTTAAATTCCACAAAAAACTTTCTCCCCGTGAGAAACGGGGCTTATTTATTACGATTTTTCATACGCATTTAAAGAATATTCTAGTGGAAAATTGCTGAAACCCAATTTCATGCATTTTCGCCTTCTTTCCCTAATCAAGCGACACACTACCGCAAACAAAAGTTGGTAGGTTTCTTGCCTGACTGGTTAGTTAGTTTTATTTGGGGGCTAGTTTACTTATACGCGTCAACTTTTTCTCTCTCTCTGAGAGGCAGACGAGCCGAAAGGAAACAGACGCTTTTTACTTTCCCCCTGAATTTGGCTCCACCTTTTTTTACCATTAAAGAACAAAAAATGACAAATTTCACTTATTTCGAGAGAAAGCACAGTCTTTATTTAATTTAGAGAATAAAAAACAATAAATAATTTTTCCTTTCATTATGAAAGTGTAAATTGACCAAGGCGAAAGAAATGCTGAGATAAGTGGAGAAAGTTCTTTTTACTTCTTTCGCAGAGAAAGTTACTTCTGAGATAACTTTGTTACGTAATAATAATAATAATAATCCTTGTAATGTCAAGCTATGTGCTTTACGTGTTGAATTGATAGAGTGGAAGTTGGCGTGAAAGCCTCATTTCCATACAAAGTTGGCGAATTTGGTTAGAATTGAAATAGTAAAAGGGAGCTTGAGATTTTTTTATCGGAATGTTGAAATCTGGCGAGTTAGTTATCTCTCTCTTTGATTATTAGGTCGGTCATGGCCTCGAACCAAACAACCCAATTTTTCGCCACTTCCGGTCTATTTGTAAATCATGACGTCAAGTCTTAACATGAAAGTGGATGTCTTAACGCGTAGGTAAAAACAGCCCCCACGCAAACCCACGAGATCAATCAAATCCTGTTAATTTAGCCGTTTCGTTTGCAGACAAGGTTGTTTTATTGTATGAAATGAATGAAATGTGAGAAAGAATTTCTACTTTCTCTCACTCGAGGACAGATTTTGAATTTAATCTGGTTCAATACACGGCGTACTTATTTGTACTCGGTATTTTTGATTCTTTTGTAGAACATTTGTGCCGAAAAAAATAATATCGTTTGGATAAGCCGTACAAATATATAAGATAAAGTAAAATTATAACATATTTTTATTATGTTATAATTTTTAATAATTTAATTGTACCAATAATGCAATTAATTAGTTAGGTTTAAATGTGATTGTTAGTTTGGTTTCTGCAATGGATTCAATTTTATTGTCTGTGAAATTTATAAAACCAGAGAATTTGGCGTGCACAAAAATTCATCCAATTGAGCCCCGTATTTTGCACTTTATCCATCACTTCCTACACATATTTATGTACATACACATGTGCACATGAATGTACACATGTCGTGCAATATTTATTTAAATTCTCCACTGTACAAGATAATAATTCCTTCATCCTTCTCACAGTTTAGGCTAAGCCCAGCTTTAGCTTTGGCTTTGAGACTTTTCTCCAAAACCATTGTAATATTGATGTTACTTTTAGTCTACGGGTTGTTGGTTTGCCAGGCATGTTTGGTTAGTTGGTTGGGCTATGCATTCCCTGTTTTTGACAGGATTCTCATTCTCATCCTCACCCTTCCCTTCCTCCTCGTCCTTCGTAATCTGTCTAGTCGTGCGATCCGTGTTCTCGTGCATTTTGCTTTGTGGTGACGTCGTCCGAGCAAAGTCGTGACGAAAAATTGTATTAGAATGCTTTATATTGTTAGTGTTATCTGGTGGGATGTCGGGTTGGGGAGTGACATTTTCATATTATGGGCCACAGTCGGATCAGAAATTTTGGATCTGGAAGAAAAATCCAGGCACAAATGGTTTTTGAATTCTTTTGTAAAAATATTTGAGGTAAAAATTTGGTTATTTGAATAATTTTTGTGCCTATAGCTTCTTTTGTAGGAAGTTCATATTTTGAATGAAAAATCAGATTTATTTAACTTTGTGACCTAAAATTTTACGAAATTTGTATTATCAATTTATTTTAATTCATCTCAAACATAAATTAGTATTTTTTCATTTCTAAACTTGACTTGTTAAAATATACAACAATGAGCATTGTCTAAATCAATTTTTCCCTTATTGTTTTGTTTTGTCTCAATTTTTGCCAACTTTGAATAAAAATTTCCATCCCACTTTTCCTTTATCTCACAATTTCTACACATGTTTTTATTCTCCAGACTCACTAATAACACTACAATTTTACTTGCTCAAAGTGAAAAAATAACAATTTATGTGTCCTATTCCAACTCAAGAATTGTGCCTTTCACTTTATTTTATCCTCTCTCTCGCAAAGTTGGCCTTTCTCTTTCATTCATGATGGTGAAAGTTTAGACTTCCATTAGAAGATGAAAAATCTAGGGTAAAATAGTGCCCTACACAAGGAAGCAAAAGCAAGCTCTCTCTACTCTCGCTCTCCACAAAAACATTCCACGGAACTAGAATTCGTGACATTTTGCAACTTATTTCGCCAAAACTGCGTACCGGACTTTATACCAGAGTGGAGTAGAGTGGGTGGGTTAGTGAAAGTAGGTCTCACTCTCTCCGTCCTCGTGTTATGTTACCAGTGGTCTCTCCCTCTGCTAGTCCGTGGAGCCTAGTCAAATAAGTGACAGTGACACATTGGTCTTTTGTCTTTGGATGAATTATTCTCATTTGTTTTTCGGGGGGATAATAATGCCCCTTTGAATTGTATTGTTGTGTGTGCTGTGCATGGGATTCTGGGAGTGAAAGTCATCATCATACTCTGAAAGGGTGAAAGTAAAAGTGATATTTTTTTCGGGAACGCATTCTCTCCACTTTCACTTTCACACAATACGTATAGATTGAAAAAAAGAAGAAGTCGATCAAGATCCCCTTGTTAATCTCGTGATGAAAAAGAGATTAAGCCGCGTTCTCCCATTGATATCTGTGCGTTCTTCTTTTTTTCCCATGTTCGTGCCTGCCCTGGGAGAATGTAGGAGGAAAAGAAGAAGAAAGTTGAGCTGCAAATAATGTCCGATCTTCTCTACCGATTAGTGGAATGGTTTACGCTTATTTACTTATTACCAGTCCAGTCCAGTCTTCCCGGTTAAGATGGTGATGCGATGGGAGAAAGTAAAGAGAGAAAGAAAGAAAGTGAATTTAGAGGAAATAAGAAACTAAGCTGAA